GCAGAGCATCACACCCTAACAACTATCTTCCTTTTCGCAGAAAATACCGACTATCTTTCTAATACAAATGTACAGTTGCGCCCCAATGTTACCTCAAGTATACCCTAATATTATACTCAATAATCACCATGTGATTTCAGAATTCCCATACTACGATTTATAACATGAACAAGATTTAATCTAAAGTAAAGAAACATACATGCAGAAGCACATCATACAATTCAACACCACTAATAAAGCCCAATATCACAATCGTGCCTGACAACTCATATGACCAGGGGACCACATAGTTAGTACTTACAAACCCATAACCTGAAGGGAGACTACTCACACATCACCATGGAAGTATATATTACAAAGATATTTATGGTAAAGGTTATGGCGACTATGGAGGTGTCCCCGAAGATATCATGTAAGGTCAGATATCGACCAGAGAGGGATAAATGGGAGATATGACAATTGCTTTGAAAATGCAAGTTCTTCGAAGAAAAACACAGCAAGTTAATGAAATTGCATGACATGATAGGGAAAATCTACAAAGATAGCAAAAGTCTTAGAGGGAGTAAACTAGTACAACAGAGACAGAGGCATGAGCAAGCTAGATAAAAGAATTCCTAAGTAGCAGTAAGATACTCGAGTCTAACAAATAAGCATACAACCTTGAGAACAACAAGGGTGGACACAGATCAGAACATGGTATAGGTAGCGGAATAAGGTAGTTCGCAACAAGGTCTTCAAATCAATCACAAAGAAAGAAGATGAGGAAGTTCTTCAAACCACAAACATATTACAAAATGTAAAGTGAAGCGAAAAGATAGAAACCGTAGGCGTGATGAAGACAATGTAGTTGTCCACCCATTTCAAGTTGCTGGCAAAACTATAAGTCTAGCTGGAGGGATTGAGATTAAACTCAGAAGGCAAACTCGTCGCCATCCTATTCTCCTTGAGCTAAGTGTGATGGCCTGGATTATTAGGGATGATAGACTACTCATATAAATAAGGAATTCCTTCTTTTCCGGGAGCCCATTCGGACAGAACTCCAAAGTTAAGCGTGCTCAGCTTGGAGTAGTGTCAGGATGGGTGACCGACCGGGAAGTTGCTCCCGGGTGCGCACGAGTGAGGACAAAGTGCGCAGAAAAGACTAGTATTGATCTGTGGGGCCAGTCTAGATCCCGCCAGGAGTAACGACCACCGGCGGGTGTGTCCGGGGCGTTACCAAGTTTGGTATCAGAGCCGACCCTCACGGTTACACGGATGGTTGCGGATAGGTGCGTGGTCATGTTGTTCATGACGTTTGTGACCCGTCGTGGCACCCGACATGGCACATGTACTGGACTGGAAGCACAGACGTTTGTGCCAAGAGGGAACATTCCTGTGGCCCGACGAGGACGTCGGTTCCTCTGAGTGGGGGTGTATGTGATGGCCTGGCTTATTAGGGATGATAGACTACTCATATAAATAAGGAATTCCTTCTTTTTCCGGGAGCCCATTCGGACAGAACTCCAAAGTTAAGCGTGCTCAGCTTGGAGTAGTGTCAGGATGGGTGACCGACCGGGAAGTTTCTCCCGGGTGCGCACGAGTGAGGACAAAGTGCGCAGAAAAGACTAGTATTGATCTGTGGGGCCAGTCTAGATCCCGCCAGGAGTAACGACCACCGGCAGGTGTGTCCGTGTCCACTTCCCGGACTCCGCCGAGAAGAGGCCATCACGGTAACACACTCAGTTGATTCATTTTAATTAAATTAAGGTTCAAGTTATCTACAACCGGACATTAACAAATTCCCATCTGCCCATAACCGCAGGCACGGCTTTCGAAAGTTCAAATCCCTGCAGGGGAGTCCCAACTTAGCCCATAACAAGCTCTCATGGTCAACGAAGGAATAGACCTCCTCCCAAGACGTTCCGATCAGACTCGGTATCTCGGTAATTCAAGACACTTCGACAGGTTAAAACAAGACCAGCAACACCGCCCGAATGTGCCGACAAATCCCGATAGGAGCTGCACATATCTCTTTTTCAGGGCACACTCAGATTGTCTAAACTTCCGGTAGGCCAGCCCAGAGTTGCCCCTAGTAGCCACCGGCGGCTGACAGTTTGGACCAACACTCAGAGGAGCACTGGCCCCCGGGGGGGGGGGGGGTTAAAGTAATGATGACCCTTGAGTCTGCAGAACCCAAGGGAAAGAAAAGGCTAGGTGGCAAATGGTAAAACCAAGGTTGGGCATTGCTGGAAAAGCTTTAATCAAGGCGAACTATCAATGGATTCCCATTATAACCCAACGGCGTGAGGAACACAAAATCCAGGAACATAACACCGATATGACGGAAACTAGGGCGGCAAGAGTGGAACAAAACACTAGGCGAGAGGCCAGCCTTCCATCCTTTACCAAATATATAGATGCTTTAAGATAACATAGCAATATAATGATATCCCAACAAGTAAATAAATGTTCCAACAAGGAACGGCCTTCGATCTTCACCTGCAACTAGCAACGCTATAAGAGGGGCTGAGCAAAGCGGTAACATGGCCAATCAACGGTTTGCTAGGACAAGGTGGGTTAGAGATTTGACATGGCAATTTGGGAGGCTTGAAAGCAAGTGGTAGGCATCATAGTATTGGCATAGCAAAAGAGCGAGCAATCTAGCATAGCAAAGATAGTAGTAATTTCGAGGGTATGATCATCTTGCCTGCACAGTTGTCAGAGTTGACTGGATCCTCGAATGCAAACTCAACGGGCTCCTCGGTCGGGGAAGGCTCTGATTACCAACTTGGTAACGCCCCGGACACACCAGCCGGTGGTCGTTACTCCTGGCGGGATCTAGACTGGCCCCACAGATCAATACTAGTCTTTTCTGCACACTTTGTCCTCACTCGTGCGCACCCGGGAGCAACTTCCCGGTCGGTCACCCATCCTGACACTACTCCAAGCTGAGCACGCTTAACTTTGGAGTTCTGTCCGAATGGGCTCCCGAAAAGGAAGGAATTTCTTATTTATATGAGTAGTCTATCATCCCTAATAAGCCAGACCATCACACTAAGATCCCTTAGGCCTCATTCAATCACTCATGGTAGATCTTCGAGGCGATCTTAGGACCTTCACAGACTTGTTCTTTGGCAGTTCACAATTACTCTTGGATGCTCTAGAACAAACACCTAACCGTCTAGAGGATGCATAGTCCTCATAAGTAAAATGTTAAGTTCAACTTCATCAAGTTCATCAATGATGCTCAATCACTTAGCATATTTTAGGCTATGTTTTTTGTCCTCATTTAGGATTCTCTTAATGTCCTCGGAGGATGGGTTGCTCAGATAACACTTGTCAAATCACATGCAATAGCCAACCACCAATGGTTGGTGGTAGGCGGCTATTTATTGCCATGAGCAATTCCGAGGTGAAATTACCATTGGAGGTAGGGCCATGCAACCTACACCGACACATGGGGAAACACTGAAAATTCAAACACAAGCACTAGACTGATTTGCATAACAAGTCATCCAACTCCCTGGCGTGGACATTTTATTAGGGTATCCCAAAGAACAACTTACTCGACACCAAAACTAAATGAACTATTTTGAAGAATATTTTAAAGTATTCACTCAAAAAGTTAGGTTGGATTGAGCACACACACGAAGACTTCAATCTCAGCTTTCACTTATAACCCACCCCCTGAATAGTACGGTTTGCACTATTGACTCTATAGAAAAAAATGTAAACTAGAAAACCAAAGTCTCCAATACATCTTCATATTACTCTCCGTGAACTTCATGTTCCTCAAACGGGCAAACCAAATTCTTCAAAAAAATCGCACAATTTTTAGGGGCCATACACGTCTGTTAAGCTAAATCTCGAGGGACTTTCACCTGTGTATACTCACAAACACATTAATCCTTTAATTTCCTTTTACATTAATCATCACATACCCTCTAGGGGCATTAGATGAACTTACACATTCTGACGCACCCATATGAGGCCCCTCTTAATTGGCCTTCGCCCATGAAAGAGGGGTGTTTCTCCTCTGGTTTTCAAGGCAATGGTGATGGAAGGGCAAGAGTCTCCCCTAGTTGGATCTCCGTTGCAAAGGAGTATTTTATGTATCTTAAAATCAGACACCTTTCACCATTTTATCGGTTGTCCGATCCGTAACTCCAAAAAATATGAAAACTATTACATTTTGATAACTTGGGTGAACAACTACCCTCCAAAGAGAAACCACAAGGGTGAATGTGGGCTCCACACGCCCTTCCATGCGGTTTGGCCCTGGGGCACACTAGGGCGCGTGTGGGCCCCCTATTACCCCCCCCTCTCAATTTTCTGCATGGCTCTATGATCCCTTCAATGTTATCCAAAGTATTTTAATTTATTAAACCTCAGCCAGGATGCAGTTTCTCAATACATATATCCAGTTGGTATATATTTGCTTTGAATAGTTATTTATTGAATGAAGATTTCAGAGGATTTTTTCTTTTGAGGATAGATTTCGGAGGATTTTGATATCACATATTTCTTCTTCTTTCAAGATTTTTCTTATTTGTATTCCTTCAAGATTTTGGTTGTGTGCATTCATTTCATTTTACTATAAAATATGTCGCACCGTTTTCTTTGAGGAAAGAAAGTTGGCCAGCAGGCTGAAGCGGAATCTGACTCTCTAACGGTGATCAACTGTTGCTTCGGTCAGAGTACTTGGTTAGACACAGCGGCAGCGATATTCGCGGAATGTGTGATTGTGTGAACATCTCTACCTTACTTGAGAAGCTCAAGTTTAAGCCTTGTTTTCGATCTGCAAATCAAGCGGATCTCTATTGATTAATCAATAAAAAAAAGTTGCCAGCGGTCTTGGAAAACCAGCCGCGGCAAGAAGCGCTGAAAAACCGGGGTTAAACCAGACAGAGCCCCAACGAGACGTCCAAACGGTCCGCGGTAATCTTCCACATCGCCTCCAGCAGAAAAACCGCACGCAGCGGCGCCGATTCTCCCCTCCGCCGCGCCGCGCGACCGCCGAGATGAGCCTCTCCCACCGCCGCCCCCACCTGCCGCCCGCCGCGCCGCCGGCGGGGGACCCCTACTACCACCTGTACGCGCCGCAGCCGCTCCAGCACCCGGACCCGCGGCAGGGCGTCGTCACGCTCTTCGTCGCCGGCCTCCCCGACGACGTCAAGCCCCGCGAGATCCACAACCTCTTCTCCCGCCGCCCCGGCTTCGACCACTGCCTCCTCGAGTACACCGGCCGCGGCAACCAGGTCCCCACCCCCCTCCCCTACCCCGTGCTCTGCCCTTCACTCAGACTAAACCCTCGCGTAGGTATTTGGGGGAAGAGCCCTTCGATTCGGCCGTCTCGTCTTTGCCATTTAGACTTGACTCTGTATGTGACTAGTGTAGACTAATCCAATTTTCTCTAGTAGAGCGGCAAGATAGAATTTCCATCTCCCCTGTTTGGGTGTATATGTTACATTACCTAGATTTGAGCATACCCCTGTTCTTCTGATGCCGTATCTTAATTCTTGTGCTGCAGGCTGTTGCCTTTGTGTCATTCTTCACCCATCACGCGGCCCTGGCAGCAATGGCTTCGTTAAATGTGAGTTACACTGCGAGTCAAGTTCCTTCTGCGTTTTTCCTGCTTGTCCTGTGTAGAATTTCTCGGTGCTAATGTGGATATGAATTTAGGCAGAGTGTTATACTTAATTCCCTGCTAAGTATCGTGCCGTTGCCGGCATCCTCACTTCAATCGTTGTATTAAAAATTCAGCAGCAGGTCTTAATCATTGTTTATAAGGCTGTAAGGAGACCTAAGGCGAGCACCAACCGCCTTGACGCCTAAGGCGTACGCCTGAAGTGGGCATAATTGTAAGGCGCTGCCAGGGCGCTTTGCCGACTAAGCGTCCAAGCCTTATAAAGAATGGTCTTAATGCAGCGAATTTCCAGGGTAGTAGCTTTAGTCACTATTTAAATCCATATGCTGATTAGCAAACTGACAGTGTCTGTTGTGTAAAAGGTGCTTGATTTGCATCGATAGGTTGATATTGAATGATGAAATCATGTGCCACTTCACAGTAGTACATCATGCCAATGAGAATTGTTAAGAGGAAACTTGACTTGCTCTAGTTACATGGAATCAAAACTCAAAGACTGGATTTCCGTAAATATGATCTAGAAAAACTCTTATGCTTTTACTTGTCAAACCTTGACCATATGAGTAGGCCAAAAGCTCTACACATGCCTCTGATGTATAAAGTGCATTTTTGATGTATGCGGTAGTAGAAAGAAATTACCTACTCCTGCGTCAGAAATCTTACGTTCTGGCCTCATAGCTGTATCAATAGTGTTGATCACTTGATTGTCATTAGCACCGGTCTGACATTGTGTTCCATTTTAGGGGTCTGTTTTTGATCCTGATAACGGTGATTGCTTGCACATTGAGCTAGCTAAGTCGAATTCACGCAAACGCCATGGAGGTACTTTTGTGCACTACTGCTAATTTTCTTAATCATACCAGTTTCCCCAATTAAAATGCCATTGAAAACTTGCACGCCATTCAATGGATTACAATTTTTCATGTTAGGTGGTGGTGAGGTCTACAGAGTAATTGACAAGCGAGTTCGAACAGAGGAAAATTCTGACAATGATAACAACCGTGATGAAGGTGATGATGATGTATCAGGCAATGATGATGGTAATGGTCATACTTATTTGATAATGTCTCACATCTGTAAGGGAGTTGGTCCTCGACTCCACATAGCTAGCAAGCCACTGTAGTGCCATCTAAAAAATCGTATTCAGACTGAACTTGTATAAGAGAAATTAGGAAGGGCTAGAAATTTGCTGTTCAACATGGCTTCCATTCACTTCCTTCTCCTCTTATTTATTTGGTATGTTCCATATCTTGAGGAGCACAATTTGAGTGTTAACACTTAATTTTGATAGTTGATTACTTCGAGGGGTACCTATTCATTTTATTTTCTCTAGAAATATTTGAGTTGATTTCATGAAATAACTAGCAAGTGTATTGGCATGTTAGCAGCAGTAAGAGTTTGCACTTTATTTGCCCCCATTAGGAAACAATTTTGCGGTCTGATGACTTTGCACACACATGTAATAAAAGTAATGCCGGTTGCAGTATGGGTTGTCAACGCACTGTCACTAGAACATAGTGTATCTCACCTGCACATTCTTGTTGTTGTTGGCAACCAAACATTCAGGACAGGGTGGATCTGATGGACAATCGGATGAAGAAAATGATAATTCCAGCGACAAGAACGAGTTACCCACGGACCAAAGGTTGACATGCAGTTTGCATTACTCATAGTTTGAGTTAGTTTTATTTCTTAATTTGGCATTCAACACTAGTGCTAGTGAGCCACTTCTCTTATGTCTGCCAATTGTGCATGGATTTGTTGATGATATTTGATTGATGTTTCCTTTGATGGACAGTGGTGAACCAGGGATCAAGCAGCAGAAGGGGCGTTCTTCTTCAAATGTGAGTTTGTGTTATGGCTTCACTTCATCACACTTTGATCTTATATCGTCTTTGTATAACTAATATACACTGCGGCAGTGTTGTGAAACAATGCAACTGATTCTGCATGTTTTTGTAGCATGCTTTGTCACATTCTATATTGTGGCATGATGTTACTTGTGTTCATGCTCATATTTCTGTTTAGCGATTATTAGAAGAGGCTGACCAAATTACACTTGCAATGTAAATTTTGCATGCCTTGAAGAATCATGTAGTAGCTCGAATTATCTACCAATCTGAAAAGGGGTGTATCTGTACGAACTGGGTTACTTTGAACATGTTTTCCTATAAATGTTTTAAATACGAATATGGCTTGTAAGTGGGACAGTGCACATGCTTTTATCATGTTTCTTCATGTCTTCTTTAACTGCACATATTGTGACACGTTCTGTATATATGTTTTTGGAATTTTGAAGTGTGCAGTTGCAATATTTTAATGATGGATGCATATCAATTTGTAACCCTGAAAGTATATTTGATTTTCCCATGCAGTGTTTCACATTCTTATAATGCGACATTGATTGTACAGGATCAGCCAGACAAAATTCCACCTTGCTCTACTTTATTTCTTTCAAATTTGGGACAAGCATGTACAGAGAAGGAGCTAGAGGAACTTTTGTCTAAGTATGTCGACTAAACTCTACTAATATATTCACTAAAGTGAAGTTGTAGAAGAAAGTGATGATTATTGCTTATTGTTGGCAGGCAACCTGGATTTCATGTGCTTAAAATGCGTCGCCGCGGTGGACTGCCTGCAGCATTTGCTGATTTTACGGTATGTCTACCTTTGTTGTTTACGTTTTAGTGATGTTATTCTACCTGTTGTTCAGAGATGCTACAGATGGTTGATTGTCTTCACTGTAAAAATTAAAATATACGACCAATAGGGCCTTTTGAGTAAATATATGACCAATAGGCACATCACAGGTTGTCGTTGAGTTGCACATGGGTTCTTAACTTACTAACAAGTTTAGGTTTCCGGACATTTGCATTTGTTAGTGATGTAGAATTGGCATAATCAGAGAGATGCCGTACTTTCTTGTACTTATAATTATTAGAAGTACAATCAGACGCAAGTTCAATGTAGGAACAATGTTTGATATGACAAATCACTATATTTCGGTGTATATTAGCGCTTCATGTTCAGAAGGGGTTGTTTACGTGCATTCGGAAAATACATCTAGAATCGAAGAGGGGGTAATATCGCTTCTTCATCCCTGTTTCCATAGCTTTACTTTTCTGAGACATGGCCTTATTTTGCAGGATATCGAATCATCCACAGCTGCTATGGAGAACCTCAAAGGTACCATCCTGTCTTCTTCCGACAGCGATGGCTTGCAAATTGAGTATCCTTTATCTTTTGCTGTTCAAGACATTGCTGGCTCTACTTTAAATGCAATTTTTCTTATAATTTCTCGTGCTTGTCGTTTGTTGACTGGTGTTCATAATGTTTTTATATTATTTTTTACATGAACCCAGCAATTGGTTTTCCCTGGAACTGTTCCTTGGCATTGTTTCCTTAACTCCAGCTGCAGGTACGCCAGGTCAAAGATGAGGAAGAGCTAGCGAGCAGTACCCGCCGTCTTCGACTGGAGTGACTCCCAAGCTATGAATGAGCATCACCTGCACATGTAATTGCCTATAGGCTGTAGCATCTGGAGTTTTAGTTTGTACTCTTTATCGAAGTACATGTGAACCAGGAGCTGTGCATATGTCCTGTGCCAGAGGATTTGGACTATTTATTTACCCATCGCTTAGGAAACTTTCTGTTTTCGGATTTCTGCAGGAATAGTATCTCAGATGATGGTATAGTTTTGAGCTTTTTTTTGAACATATAGTTTTGAGCTTATTCCCTACTGCGATCCTGACTGTTTCGGTGAAAACGTTTATTCCCTCTCGCCCGCAATCTTAATCTATGGTCGAAGCTGGCCATCTGGAAGCTATCCTTCGGCCTATCTACTTCCTTCAGGATAGGACCATAAGCCGCCATTCTGTTGCCTGAGTTAATGTTCTTGATTACACTTAAGCAGTCTGATATAATAAGCAGTCTTCAAACCTGTAGGTCATTACAATAAGCCAACACATGCTAACGGGCCGGGCCAACAATTTTGACGTCCATTTACAATAGCAAGATATAGACATGACCCAACTGCCATGGAGCATTGCTCAGAAAACAAAAACAGAAAACACTGCGATGAAGCATGGTGGTGCCCCCCAGTATATAAGTCGTCCATTGCTAGCTTCCCATACACATGTCATTAATTTATGCCTGAAAAAAAATCATGATTAAGCACAAAGGAGGACATCATTGGGTGATACCAGCTATTCTAACATATAATGAATATATAACCATAGAAAAAGCAGAACAACGTTACAAAATAGAGGAAAAGGATATACACTGAATGTTGATCAGTGGATTGCATCCCTGATTTGATTTGAGCTGGCTTTCCCCTATTATTGCTCATGTTAGAAAAAACTGGAGTGGGCTAGACGTAGGATCCTTTTATTTAAATAACTGTATTTTATTAATTAATTGAATCAGATGAACTTTCAAACTGCTCCCATATGAATATGTTTTGACCAACTATTTCTCCGAACAATCGTAAAGCATACTAAACTACTAATACTTGCCCTAACGGCGAGTTAAAGACAACTAGTGGGTGCTCTCTGCTGCAAACCATCCGACAAATCTATTCTCTAGGCTCCTGCCGTGGGTCTCACAGCTATACCTCTGGCTGCACATCGCTCCCCTGACCAATGCCGCTGCTCATCACTCCCCTGACCAACGCCAACTTGTTGGCTCCCGCGGCGCATGACTGCTGCAGCTGGTAAGTATATGTACTGTTGCTGGCGGCCAAATTGCTAGTTCCATGGGCCTTGTTGGTTCCGGCGGCGTATGAATGCTGCTGCTGGTAAGTACAGTTGCTGCTGGCCAACTTGTTGGTTCCAGCGGCGTGTGCATGCTGCTGCTGGTAAGTATATGTACTACTGCTGGGGGCCAACTTGTTGGTTCCGGCGGCGTGTGAATGCTGCTGCAGGTAAGTGTATGTACTGCTGCCAGCGGCGTAGGAGTGCTGCTGCGGGTAAGTATATGTGCTGTTGCTGGTGCCCAAAAGGCTACCGGGATGACCGCCGGCGTACCCACCATTGTTCAGTTGACCTGCCGGTTGATGTGTAGCGCCGCCATAACCGTAACTGAATGCTCCAAGAGGCGCCGCCGCAGCATCTAGGTAGCTGGTGGCCGGCTGATACGGCGTCGTGCTGTAGTCGTTGTATCCTAGTCCTAGAGGTAGAGGCTCCATCGTCTCATATTCCAGCAGCGACAGCAGCATGGACTCATCAAAGCCGTAGCATGAAGCACCAGGGCAAGATGCTACCATCTCTGAATCTGAGAGCTGCGGCGGCGGTTCCTGCAACGGCGGCGTGGTGCCTGGACCGTAGTCACAATCTTGTGCTGGCATCAATGTCTCTGAGCATGGCGGTGGCGGTTCATCATGCTTCTGCTGCATCATTTGTGGTCTCTTGCTGGGGCGGCTGGCTTGCTCCAACTCAAACATGTCCGTCTCATCAACTTTCTCTGCCACCTCCTGGGTTCCCTGAACCTGGAGGACTTGATCATCAGCTCCCTTCTGGGCCTTGCCCTTCCTCTTCCTGCCGCCCGCCTTGCTTTCCCCCTTCGCCTTGCCCTTGATCGTGTCGTCGGCGCTGCGCTGGCTCTTCTGCCTCTGGATCGTGCACAGCACCCACTCGCCAAGCTGCATGCGATAACAGATTATAGTACAAGTACAGATTAGTATTTTCATCAGTCTGCGATAAATAGATCGCCGAGAAGGAAACAGATTAAGGCGTAGGGCGAAGGGCAATCGAGATGATCATCACCTTGTCGGCGTTCTTGTCGTTGGCCTCTTCCTCGGACGTGAGGTTCTCGTACTCGTACATGGTCCAGGCGGTCATGGCCGCCTCGTCGGGCCCGGTGTAGAACACGAGCGTCCTCCTCCGCCCGACCAGCGGATAAGCCTCCGAGGGCCCGGTGCGGATCAGCCTCTGAGGGCCGGTGGCCTTCCAGTACCCCCTGCCCGGCGTCGTCCGGTCCGGCCGGTTGCCCGTTGCGTACTTGCGGGTCCGCTTGGTGAAGAAGTACCACCGCTCCTCCCCGCAGCCCATGAACACCTCTGCAGCACCATCAAAATTCAAAATCAAGTCAGATCAGATCGATCTCTCCGCCGTCTTGATCAACTCGCGCGCATTCGATATCGACCTAGCTAGCGCAAGGAACAAGGACTCGTCGTCGTGTTCGTACCTGTGATCTGCTCCGGGCGGTAGTCGGTGATGGGCACGTCCTTGAAGATGGGCAGGTGCGGCGGGTGGCCGTCCATCTTCCGGCGGAGGTAGTGGACGATGAGCTCCATGTCCGTCGGCGCGAAGTGGTAGCCGGGAGGCAGGCTCAGCACCAGCCGTTGCTTCCCTTCTTCCATGGTTTCCACGCACGCACGGCCGCCCGACTGCAGGCCCACCCCCTCCCGATCGACGGCGTGCGGCGGTTAGGGCAAGATCCCGAGTCGTCCGCGTAGTTGACACGGCGCCGTACCCAAGTAGTAATCCGCTTTTCCTATTTATAGTAGTGTCGCCCGGGACGGACCGCCTGGTCTCGTGGTGGCCGAGGACTCCTGCGTTGCGGAAAGCTCTCCAAGAAAACTCCCAACCCTAAGATGCGAGAGCAATTAGTTTTTTTTTCTCAACACAGTATGAAACACTCATATATACGCGCATACATTTATCCCTATGAATGCGCATACACACCCAACTCTTATGAGTATTTACAATAGACTGAGCCGTATATCATCTTGAGATTTTACAAAGTCACCGTAGGCGACTCGTAGTTGACGGGAACATCTCCTCCCACTGAACCCACATTGCTAGAAATTTTGAAATAAATTCAGGATAAATGCGAGCACCAGCCACCAGGATTTGAACCCTGATGGGCTGGGATATCACTGTCCTCCTACCCATCCAACCACACGTTGGTTCGCCGAGAACTACCAACTAGCTGATGAGTACTCGTTGCGGGGCTCCTATAAAGGTCACTTTTGGTGGACTGAGAGCTCGTCACTTGACACGTTTTCAGCCACCGTCATGTGTCGCTTGCTGGGCACTCACTTAGGATTTCTTTTTTATTTTTCTTTACGCGTTTTCGGGTTTTAGATTATTTCTTTCGATTTTTTGGCTTTTCAGTTTTTGCCCGGTTTTCCCTATGTTTCGTGTAAGAAAATAAATGCGCGAAATACGTGTTTTTCTTTCTTTCGCGAGAGCGCAAATTTACTTCTCATGAAGACGCAGATTTGCTCCCGCGAGAGTCACCTCTTAGAAAAAGAAAACCCGTGTTTTTTTCCTCCCATGAGAGGCACCTCCCAGAAAAAGGAAAATAAACATGTTTTTTTGCTTCTGCTAGAGGCACAGTTTTACTTAACGTAGAGGCACATATTTGCTTCCTTAAGGGGTATAGGTTGTGCCTCTCGAAAAACAAAAAAAAACATGTTTTCAATTTTTTTCGCGAGGGGTGCAGATTTACTTCTCGTTGAGGCACCGATTTGCTTCCGCAAAAGGCACAATTATGCCTCTCGAAAAATGAAAAAGAAACGTGTGTTTTCTTCTTTCATGAGAAACACATATTTTAAGCTCCCAGATTGCTTTTCTTTCCCTCTCGCAAGGCGACTAGGGAAAGTCTTCCTCCCCTCGATCTTCACAAGCGAGCCCGTGGATTCGGCTCCCCTCTGCCTGCCGCTCTGGCGGCCGGCGGCGGGGAGGGAATTCCTAGTGCCTTTTTTCCGGCTAGTAGATAGGCAGGGTTTTAGTTCTCGCAGGGGCGGCATTTGGACGGATGGCGGCGGCTCTTCTTCGAGTCAATCTTCGGGGCTCCGGTCCTCCTCAAGTTCGTTCGCTGGGACGGATTAGACGAAGCTCTGACGTAGATTCCTGCCAGCTCCTCGGGGCGAGGAGGTTAGGGTTTCTTGCCCTGTGTATGCAACGGCGATATTTGGTGTCAAGTTCTTCAGATCGATTTAAGGATTGAACGGCGACAATTGTAGCTCCAGGACGTTGGTTCGTAGGGGCACGTGCACGAAGATTTCCTAGCTGTTATTGACAAGGTCAAGCCGGCTCCTGTATTGAAGCGGCAACAGCGACGCGTCGGCGGCTCGTTCTGGCTGCGGCGATGGTCGTTCGGTGGTCCATGGACCTTGATGTAGTCTTTATTATGTTTGAGGCATTTTGTACTTCCGGTGAATCTTTATAATAGGTCTGGTCTGTTCAAAAAATAAAAAAGATACATATTTGCTTCTCGTGAAGATACAGATTTGCTTTTGCAAGAGACACATCTTCGAAAAAGAAAAAGAAAGTAGAGAAAACCATATAAAAGAGGTTCGTCGAAACCTATAAACATGAGATCTAGTTTCAAAAATTTTGATGCAAGAAATTCAACGGTGGAGAGGATAAAATGTTTTAAACTTTAAGGTTGCGACAACTGATGCACAGTGCACCACTTGTCGCAATATGAGAAAGTATGAGTG